AAATTAACTTAGCATTTCTCAAGCTGAAAGAATTGAAGTATAAATTCAGTCCTCTAATTTTAATACTGAGAGATGCAGTGACAAAATATGGCATATTCCAGGAAGCCTTAAAAAAAGATGAAAGCAGTACACAGAGTCACTAAAATGAAAAAAAAAAAAAAAATTGGTTCACACTGAGCCATTTCAGGAATTAGCATATGATAGGGAGCCAGTGGTAATGAAGGAAGAAGTTCAAACTACACTGAAAGTTTTGTATGATTAATAACAAATTATGCCTAACATTAAGAAATGGGAATCCCAGAATACTTAATTGTGCTCATGTAAAACCTATACCAAGACAAAGAAGCTGTTGTCCAAACAAATCAGGAGAGTACTGCATGGTTTTGAAATAAAGATGTACATCAAGTTTGTATCCGTTCTCCATACCTCTTAATTTATGTGCTGAGCAAATCATTTGACAACTTGGACTTCATGAAGAAGAATTTGGCATCAGGATAAAAAAAACTTTATCAATAACCTGCATATGCATATGACATAACCTACTTGCACAAAATGAAGAGGATGCCCTTGCAGCAGAAGGTTAAAGGTGGGTACATCTCAACCTCAAGAAAAAAAATTCACCTACTGGATCAATATCATGATAGATAAAAGGAAAGGTTGAAGTTTGTCAGTGATTTCATCTTACTGGATTCCAACTCAACATCTTTTGTACCAGCAGTCAAAGAATCAAAAGAATGTGCATTGAACAAATCTGCCGTTAAGAACCTTTTAAAAGTTCTTAGGAGCATTGATGTCACTTTGAAGACTAAGGTGTGCCTGATCTACGCCATAGTCTTTTAATTTACTTGCTAAGCATCTGAAAACTGAACAGTAAATAATGACAGAAGCAGCAGGGTTTTTTTCTGTAATTTTATTAATTTTCATAAACATTTACAGAGATTTTGGGTTTCCATTCATTCATTGTTGCACTATTCTCTCTACCCTCCTCCCACTTTGTTCTTGTCCAAATGCCA